TGGTCTGGTCCTCTCCCCGAATGAATCCCCTTGTCAACTGGTCTCGGCTATATGCGGACTGCCGCCCTCGCCGTGGCCTCAGCAGACCGATGGTACCTGAAAATCCAGGTTCTCAGACCCGGAATAGTGASGGTACCAATGCAGTCCATGAAAGTCAAGCGGTACCAGCAGGTCGCCCCAAGTACCGGACTGTATCCGCAATTACTGAAGTAGGCACATAGCGTTAGGCAACAGCGAACCAGGAGCATCGAGGCCTTGACATTCTGAATATTGACCATACCAAGCTGCAGTAAGCTGCCCCATCTCCAAGTAGTGACCACACCACCCTCAGACTTGATGCCGAACCAATGGCCAAGCCTGATTAATGAGACAGTTCATGGGCTGTTCCCGACCTGCACCAGTTACCGAACCTGAAAAGAACAGGAACAGGCCGCAATACCTTGGCCCAGTGTCGTGTCAGTATCAGTGCAGTGAAAACACCAATGTCGATCCTGCTCCGAATGAGTCTACCATTCCTGTCCCAGACTAGCAACCGTACCACACCAGCGTGGAATACGGTACCGTGCCGCCAATACCATGCCAGTTCTTGTACATGTCCCGAACCAGTGTACCATGCCAGACACAAAAGTATCGCTTTGCAGAAATCCGGCCCAGCCCCAAACCAGTAAACCGAGCCCGTCCAATACGGAGTATAGTACCATGTCGCAGATGAACCCGTTGCCGCACCGTACCTACCATATCGCCGTGACCAGAGAACAGAATCCCATGTCGTGCCATAAATGTGCCATGCCAGCACCCGCAAAATCTATACTGTACCTGTTCCGTACCAAAGTGTCATGCCCGTTCCAGACCTGCCCCCGGACCAAGGTCATAAGGCCACGTAACTTGTAGCAGCCCATGCCGCCGCGACCCAAAATTGGCCCCTGTCACTCAAGATAACTCGTGCTATAAATCAGGTGGATCGGAAAATCGAAGGACTCGTACGGATCGACGGGCAATAGAGAAATAAGTAATTTCCAGCAAAATTCCATAAAAAATGAATCCCGTAAAAAATTAATTGAACGATAAATAATAATCTGTTTTTGTTTCTTTTATTATTTATTTCCTTTTTCTCATTCTTAATGCTGTTATTAAAATTGACAAAAAATTAGGACAATTTCGCCAAAAGTGAATTATGAAGAAAATTAATTAATTAACAATTTTTTATTTGTTTCTTCCTCCTATTGTTTTTAATTCCTTTTCTCAGTTTTAATTTTGTCGTTAGAATTAATAAAATCTGAAGTGTCATTCCTTCGTCAATTGCTTAGTGTGAAAACGACGCGCCGAGGCCTGCTACCGCGCCTCCGTACCGCGGCCGACCGCTTCGGGAACAGCCTCAGAACGGACGAAAATGATAGGTGCTAGGCCCGACAGGCGCGACCGTTCCTCTTTTTGATTTCAAGGGTTAGTTTTATCAGTTGATGGGGGAAATTTTAGAGATCTTTTTCCGACCCCTAATTTTCCCCGATGGCTCTGATGAAAGTCCCGGCCGATCCCTCTCTAGGCACTTAACCCAAGGCCCAATCCTTTGTATTTCGGGTGGCTGACTGGTCTGCGGCCGCTTGACATCGGAGAGCGGCAGGCTGAGCCTGACGGGGTAGCCCGGGGCGCAGTAGCAGGGGACGCAGATAGGGCACCACGACCAGCCGCGTGGGTCCTCTTCTTCACTTCGATTCTCAAAGTTCTCAATTGAGTATTTTGTTGCTGCCACCAAGGGCAGTACCGGGCCCAGTTTCACCGAGGCCCATGCATAGGCCCTACATCAGGGCCGCAGTCCGGTTCCTTGACGCCATTTGCATGGGGGGGGTGCCTGTTGAGAGACAAGGGGCGATAGGCCACTAGGTGGCACACTTGGAACCCGCCACTAGCCTCGGTCTTCGAAACTCTCGACTCGATAGGGGTTGCTACGAAGATGACCCACAGCAGGGCAGCGTCCTCCTACCCACGGTAGCGACAAGCTGGCCCGAACATCGCAGCGCCAGGTGCTGTCGAGCGGATCATTTCGACAGGTAAGTGGCTACACATCTAGCAGATTTCAACTTCCTTGACCGCCGACTTCCGACATGTAGCGGTATGCGCCGCTATAGCGCACTGGATAGCGCGAAGGGGGAATGCATGTAAGGAAGGAATGGACCGGGGAGAGGGCGTCAACTGCAGAAAGATAGTAGGGTAAAGGATGAATGAATTTGGCTGGGGTTCTGCGCCAGGTACAACTGAAGTAGAGATGGCAGAAGACTAGCTGAGCGCAGCGATGGGTGGGTTGTTTGTCCGATTCTTCGTGGATTCAGGCGGGGAAAAAAAGGCTATAGGGGTTCTGAAGGACAACTAATACGAATCTACAGTCAGTTTGAGGAGAGAGTGAGTAAAAGGTAAGGTAAAGGAAAAAACGACGGGCGCGGAGTAGAAGTGATGGCAGAGATGGAAGAGGATGATTATCGCGAAACTCAGGCGTTTCTCGTTGATAGTAGCGTTGTGGGGGTTTTAGGAATGGGAGATTTCAAATCCAGTGTTAGTTCTAATAGTAGGTCAGTAGGATGAGAGTTAGATAGAAAGAGCAATGCGCCTAGCTATAGGGGAAAAGAAAGAGAAAAGGGCATATCCTGCTCGTTTTGAATCAGATTTGAAGGAGGGGAGTAGTAGTTAGGGGCTTCCTGATAAGGCGAATTGAGTGGGGGTGTTAGATTGAGAAAGGAAGGAGTTAGATTTTGATCTGTTTGACTACAGACTGCGCTAGTTGGAGAGGTTCGAGTGATGGATGTATTTGGCTGCCTTTCGTGAAAGGTGCATTTCGTTATCGCTCGTCCAACCACTGAGCGAGAGACCAGTTGCAGGGTTAGAGACCTACCTGATCGGCGGGTGCGTGCTCGACATATCTTTGGAGGGAGCACCTCTCTAGGTTCTCTGGGCGTCTGGCTGAAGGGAGTGCATGTCTCCGCAAAATTGCAGAAGATTCATTCCGAACCTGCCCATCCTAAAGATTGAAGTAGTGTGAGTCGAGCCGCAGGTCGTATACTTGCCTAGAGGCCGAGCGAAGTCTGATGAGGTAGACTGGTACGCAGGCTGGTCCTTCCATTCGTCTGTAGTGGGAGCCATCGTCTACAACCGTTTTTTGGTGGAAAGGACACTCACCATCGTGGATTCGGAGACACCACAGCATCGGGTCGAGTTTGTCCTTAGCAAAGTTTGGACTTGATCCTCGTAAAGAGAGGGGGGGTTCGCTCTACGGTGGCACAGCAGGTGGAGCCATGCGCGCAGGCTGGCGCCGCCCTGCGCCGAGACATTTCGCATCCGATGGACGTGTGAAACCGGTGCTGTTGCGGGGAGAGTACAGTTCAATACCAAGATCATTGCGTCTATTGTGCTTGCTGCGTATTTTTGTTGTGTACCTATGCGGGACATTTGTTGGTGCATATTGTGAAGTTCGGGGGCTATTGCGAGTGGATTGCCGATCTTTGATTGCCAAGTCCAAGGGTCGATAGCTACGCTTGAACTGGGATCCACCCACTCACTACGGTTGGGTCTGCTTCTTTGACCAAGCGAGGGAATGCTACGGTTTGCTGTGCACCATCATTTGGAAGTCGTCGGGTTGTTACACATGTCGTGAACAACTGTTGCGTGGGCTCAGCATTCCATAGCTGGAGGCTGCACTTTAATGGGCGGTCAGACACTACTGCCGAGCCTTGCGGAGGTGCGTTACAGTGGCGACTGCTGCGTCTTGGCCGACGAAAGAATTCATAATCGATTGCTGCTGCATTTTGTCTAGCCCTCGAAATGACCACTGCAACAAATTGGTTGTTGCTCATGTTGCTCTTGACATCGTATCAGTGGAGTTGGTATGTTGTGACCGTATTTTGAGTAAGAACATGGAGGTGGGGAGCGCTTAAACACAAACTTTGAGGACTGGGGAGCGATAGTTTAGATTAAGGGAGAGATATTGTGTCAAAAAAAAAAAAAAAGGGGTGTGCGTTGCAGTCAGCGGTATTGTTGCGAAGCGGGAGAGTCGTCAGGGAATGAACAATTAGTGATTTGACTTCAGTTGACCAGACTGCTGAGTACTTTTGGCCATCATTGCGGGGCCCTCAGGCGTATCAAGGCAACAAGGCCCTCTCCTGCGAGTTGAGTCAGTCCCTCTCTTGTATCTCGAGCGTCTGAAACCCCTCATTCTGCCCTTCTTAATCTCAGTCTAATCCGGTTCAGAGAGGAAGGCAGCAGGTGGGAGTGCAACCCGTAGGACCGCAGCAAGACTCTGTGGGGAGTCTGCCCACCGATTGCGGGAGCTCTGCCGGAACCTAGGTGAGGTTCTGGAGGCAGGGAACCATCAGGTATATCTCTCTCTGCCTGTATGAACTCACTACCTCCCTGTTTGACCATCTCCCTTTAGTTTGACTGATGTATGCGTGTGTTTCCCTATGATTTTTTGCTTTCTTTTAGGATCTAATCAGACTGAGTGGAAGGAATGTGTGTGACAAGTTCAAGTTTCTTCTTTATTTTTGACTGAAAGCAGACTAAGGGATGAATTGGGGGGAAGGTGGGAGGCAGGCCCTCGTTTTTCAGCTTTCAGGCTGAAACGACTGGGGCCTGGAAGCCCTAAGTTTTAGGCTTTTAGGCTGAATGTCCGGGACGGGCCCTGCATGGCCCATGTGGCTACGCAGTATGCCACACCCCCCCCTCCTTGAAGAACCGAGCTTACCTGCGAGGGTGAAGCTGTCTGTCTGAGGGAGGGACCACAGTCCGGGTGGGAGGGGCTGGTCGTGAAGCTTCTTGAGCTAACCTCCGCTTTTCATAATGCGCGTAGATCAGCGGTGCGGATGCTTTCAAATGTGCGCCTGAAATCCACCGAGTGTCGTCGCGATCGCATGCTTTGAATGTGACTTTGTACTGCCGCGGCTTGCTGCCGTACTTGCGATCGGTGATGACGCGGTCAACTTCCTGATGACCATCCATAGAAGGAGAGTCCTGCGATCATCGGCCCGGAAAGTCGTCGCTCTTGGCTGGCATGTATGTTGCAAGCTTCGAGGCGTGGAAGACCGGATGGACCGTCAGATGCTCTGGAATGTTGATCACAAATGAAGGGCCATCGGGCTCATCGCCCGCGGCTGCTGTCACAGACCAAGGTCCAAACCACTTGGGAAGCAGTTTGCGTGAAACATCCTGTTCCAGTGCAAACTCTTCCGCGGAGACCCAAACCAGATCACCGGCGCGGATGGGACATGGTACGCGACGCCTGTTGGCYTGCTGCTGCATGCGGACTTGAGCCTTTTGCATGTTTGCGCGGGCTTGAGTCAGCAATTCCCTGTACTTCCAGATGGAAGCGGGAGAGCAGGCAGCGTCAATGTCGGCTGGTCGAGGGAGGAGAAGGTCGGCGAAGATCCGGCCTTTCCGTCCACCGTGGTGCAACTCGAATGGAGTCACGCCGATCGCCAGATGCATCGAAGTGTTGTAGGCGAACTCGATGTCGGGGAGGCGGTCAACCCAATCTTTCTGGTCCGGACGGATGAGCGTACGAAGCATCATTTGAGCGGTTTGATGTGCCCGCTCCGTTTGCCCGTCCGTCTGTGGATGCCGAGCCGAACTTGGTTTCATCTTCGTGCCGGACTCCTGTATGAGAGCAGTCCAAAATGCCGACATGAAGCGAGTGTCGCAGTCGCTGACAATGTCTTCTGGTACACCGTGGCCACAAATCCAACCAGTGTGCAGGAGGCGTGCCAGCTCGGGAGCCGTGGAGTAGTACTTGCAAGGAAGAAAACACACATACTTACTCAATCGGTCCACCACCATGAGGATGCCGTCGTGCCCGAGCCTGTCGCGGGGAAACGGACCGGTGACGTCCATGGCAATGGAGAGACCAGGTTCCCGTGGGATAGGCATCGGGCGTAACTCGCCGTAGGGATTGCGGTTGTGGGGCTTGCTGCGTCGGCAAACTTCGCAAGAGTCGCAATACTGAGTGACATCGGTAATGAGATCGGGCCATCGGAATCGCTGTCGAAGCCGTGCAATAGTGCGGTTGACGCCGAAATGGCCGGCGAGTCGAGAATCATGATACTCGCCGAGGAGGCGAGTCCGAAGACGGCGGTCGCGTGGGACACATAGTAAGTTCTTGCCTCTCGAGTGGAGGAGCAAGTACCCGTCGGCAATGCGATAGTGGCTGGCCGGCGGGTGATCCGAAAATAGCTGTGCATACAGCGTGGCGAAGTCCGGATCAGACTCATATGCCCGGATGAAGTGTCGCTGAAGCTCCTCGTCGAATGCGAAGGCATGATGTGTCATAGCGCAAAGATCAGGTCTTCGCGAGAGTGCATCTGCTGCGCGATTTGAGAGGCCGGGAAGATGTTTTGGTGAGAAGTCAAACTGGTCGATGAAGTACATCCATCGCCCGATCGTGCTGCTCACCGTATCCTGCGTCTTGTAGTAGGTCAATGGGTTGTTGTCTGTGACCCATGTGAACCTACGACGCCCAAGGAGGAAGTGCCGCCATCGCTTGAGAGCCATGACGAACGCGAGCAGCTCCTTCTTCCTTGCATCATCAAGCGAGTTGATGGGAGGCACTTTGTGGCTGAAATACTCCACAGGGTGCCAGTCGTCGCCGTCGTGCTGTTCCAAGACTGCCCCAATGCCGCTCGTAGGCAGGGTGGGGTCGTAGATGCTGAGGACGGGTGCCATGAGCATAGCCATCTTAAGTGCTTGGAATGACCGACGTGCGTCGTCATCGAATACGAATGGCACCTTTGGCGATTGTAGTCGCGTCATAGGTGCAGCAATCCGTGAGTATCCGGTGATGAATCGCTGATAGTAGCCCGCCAACCCCATGAATGAACGAACGTCCGTGGTGTTGGTGGGCTCGGGCCATACTCGTAGGGCCTCGATCTTGTCCGCAAGCGGACGGATGCCTTGCGGCGTCACATAATGTCCCAAGTACTCTAGCTCCTGTCGTGCGAATTCGCACTTGTCGCGGTTGGCCTTGTACTTGGCTTGTCGTAGCCGCTCCAAAATGGTGCACAGGTGTTCCACATGCTCCTCCAAACTCCGGCTGTACACCAGGATGTCGTCGAGGTAGATAAATACGTATCGATCCAGCATGTGTCGGAACTCCGTTGTCATAGCCGCTTGGAAAGTGGCCGGGGCATTGGTAAGGCCAAAAGGCATAACCAGCCATTCGAAATGCCCATATCGCGTCTTAAACGCGGTCTTGTAATGGTCCTCCTTGCGAATCTCGAGTTGGTGATATCCCGACTTGAGATCGAGCTTGGAGAAGAACTTGGCGCCGCCCAGTCGCTCGAGAAGGTGGTCGATGCGTGGGAAAGGGCCGACGTTTCTGATCGTCTGCGCGTTGAGCTTGCGATAATCGATGCACAACCGCAAATCCTTGTTCTTCTTCCGGACGAAGAGAACAGGAGCACAGTATGGCGATGAGCTAGGCCGAATCCAACCTTTCTCCAGAAGGTCGTCGAGTTGTGCCCGAAGCACACTTAACTCTTCCTCGCTCATTCGGTAGATGCAACCGCGCGGAGGTACGGCCCCGTCCTCGAGGATGATCTCGTGGCGGATGGGTCGATCCGGTACTACTCCGTGCGGGCCTTCGAACACGTCGCTGTAGGCGTCGAGAAGCTCGGTGATGCGTGGATCCGAAGGTGAGTCCGTCGATGAAGCGTCATGGGGCGGGAGGGCGTGGAGAAAACATACCCCCATCTCCTCGATGTCGTCTGTGATGATGGAAGCTCGCATGCTTGTGGCGGATACCACGTGGCAGGTGATCGAAGGATGAGGAAGAGGCACCGTGCATGGAACTAGTACTCCGTTCCGATCACGAATGTGAACGGTGCGGTGGAAGCAATTCACCGGGTGATCCTCGCTTCGCAGCCATGACATGCCCAAGATCATGTCAAATTTGGTGTCCAGAATGTCAAAGGACACCGCCTCACTTGCGTGAGGGGCAAAGTACACTGGGACGTTGTCAATGCACCGGTCGATTGACTTGTGCGTGTGACCGTCCGCCAACGTGACTTGCGTAGGCTGGGACTTCCTCCGGACACGTGGGCCAAGGCCGACGCGCACCATGAAGTCCTGGCTGATGTAGTTGCGAGATGCTCCGCAATCGATCAAGGCGTTGCAGGTCGCTTCTCCGATCTGAATGCGTACATATAGCAATGGTGCGTCGATGTCGTCGTACCGTTGCATCTTGAACTCGCGGTCGATCTTCGCAGTGTAAGCGTGAAGGTCGACAACCTCTACTCCGACGTCCATCAACGGAGCTGGTCCTGCAGTGTGCAAGTGATCCCGCAGTTGTGCCATGAGCACATTGCAATGCGGTTTCGACAATCGTCCGCTCGGGGGAATGGGCATCCACTGGAAGTCCGTGAACGTCAGTGGGTCGAGCACCTCAAGTCTTGACCACGACGATGAATCCCCGGTGATAGATGGCGGCGAAGCTGCCGAATCGGTTGCCGATGGTGATGAAACCGTGCATGCGGTAGATTGTTGCACGTGGAGCGGTTGGTCCAGCGGTGGAACCAAGTGGACAGCATAGTCCTCGTAAGTGTAACGAGAACCTGCGACATTCGCATCCTCCCCAGATGTGTGGGAGGCCGCTAGCAAGGCGGCCGAATCTGGCGGAGTAGAAGGTGGAGTCGCCTCACCTTCCGTGGAACTTAGTTTCTCGAGTTGAGGCGGGGTCGCACATCCTCCTTGCCCTGATCTTGGCACAGGGAGGTCTTGTGCTTGGTGCTGTTGCACCAATAGCGGCTGCCGTAGCGGCCGCGGACCTTGTACTCCGCCTCGGTCAAGCCVAACTTGACCCATGGAAATTGTACTGGCTGTCCATTTCCGGCCTGTGATGCGGATTTCGCCTTCCCATTGTTGCGGGACTTGTTGTTGCTTCGCGGCTGGACAGCAGCCACCTGATCTCCGTCACCTGATGCTAGAGTGGCTGCTGGATTATCTCCACTGTCCGACTGGACTGCAGCGAAGTGCTGCTGTCGTGGACCAGTTCGTACCTTCTCCACATAGGTCGGCTGCCATGTTGACTTCTCATGTGCAGTCGACCTGTTGGTCTTGATGATTTCCCTCGCCTTGTCGATGATCTCAGCAAAGGTTGAGTACTGCTCGCGATCACCAAGAGCCTGGCTCAATGCAGCACAGGACCTGTTGTAGAACTCAGGGCGTAAATGCGTGAATGGCAAGTCCAGATTGGGCACTGCCGCAATCTTCTGCCACTCCGTGAGCCAATCCCGTGTTGCGGTGTTGCCCTGTGACATGGTGAACAGACGGTTGATGGTGCGTCGTCGACGATGAACCGCTTCTTCCACAGTCGTGTCAGTTCCTCCCATGTGATCTTGTCCTTCAAGTCCGGTACGTCGACGCCGTGAGAGGTTGCCAGGTGGGTCAACCAGATCTGGCATCCGCCCTTTGAGTTCATGAACAGGGCGCCGATGTACGCATGCTTAGCGACAGGCAAAATCCGAAGTTGCGTCGTGAATGCTTCCCACCAGAGGACCGGATCCTGCTGCGTGTAGTTGTCGAACTTGTCCAGTTGGAAAGTTGGCATCTTGTACAACTTAGGATTGCCATCCGTGTTCGTCGACTGCAACTGCTGGAACTCGGTCTTCAAGGTATGCAGCTGACTGCTGATGGTGGTCGGCGCAGTGAAGGTGCTGATGTCGCCGAGCATTGCCACTACGTGGTCAACGCGTTCCTCCAGTTGGCGGCTAGAGGATGCACTGCTGGAAGCCCCAGCATCTGGTCTTGGCGGAACTTGTTCCAAGTCCTGTACACGGGCGTCCAGTGCCCGTGTGGCATCCTCGTGCTGAGTCTTATGGTTCCGCACGGCCCGCTGGAGGTTCGCCAGCTCGGACTGTACACGTGTAAACCAACCTGGTCACTAGCTTGGCCATGAACTCCTTATGCTGCTCTTCTGGTGTTGCCTCGTCGCCGTTCGGTTCAAAGTGCCAGTACTTGAGTCTCTCGATGCTGTTGGCTTCATGCCGCAGCAGCAGATCCTGGGCTTCCTTGCGGCGAGCCTGGGCATCTGCGTCTGCTTCGGCCTGTAGCCGCAGCTTCTCTGCTGCTGCCGCTTCGTCAGCCTGTAGCTGGGTAGCCTTGGCTGCCAGCTGGCGTTGTTCCTCAGCCTCGATTACAGCGAGCTGAGCCTGGAAGCGCTTTTTGTAGTCGGCAATGGGCTCATTGGCCAGTTGGCCTGGCAGGCCCGTCATGTTGCTGACGTGGCACTGCTGACGTGGCACTGATTACGTGGCACTGTCTGACGTGGCACTACTGACGTGGCATTGCTTACGTGGCACTGTGTCTGACGTGGCACTGCTGACGTGGCACTGCTTACGTGGCACTGTCTGACGTGGCACTGCCGACGTGGCACTGCTTACGTGGCACTGTCTGACGTGGCACTGCTGATGTGTCACTGTACCATCCCGGAAATGCATGCAAAGGGTGGGTGGGAGGGAAGACGCAGGTAGGAAACCAACCCAACAATACTTTCCTCCGGCCCTAATCAACAGATAAAAATAAAATATAAAAAAAAATAAAAGAGGACTACTTCCTTTTTTTTTTCTTTTTTTTTTTTGTATATCTGTCGATCTATTATGAGTAGGACATGTCAGAAGAGTACTATGAACGAGATCTAGGCTAGGTTCCGCAAAGTTTCGGCTTTTACAAACTGCGATCTTGAAATTTTTTTTGGCGAAATGGAGTAAAGATGCGATCTTCAGAAAACAACGAAATCCACTTTCTGAGAATATGGCAACCTCCGAATATGCCTAACGCAATATTGGTAGGCTTCGCAAGATTTCGGTTTTCAAAAAAATTTTGCGAGATAGAATGGAAATTCGATTTTCAGAAAAGAATAATTCCAGTTTCCGAGAATATGACCACTTCTATCGTTATCCCAATATGCCTAGAGAACGAAATACTAACTTCAGAACTTTCAGCTATGTATGCGAAATATCAGAGAAACGAAAAGCTACTATCGGGAATTTTCAGACAAAGCGAAATGCAATTTATCAGAAATTTTCAGATATTTGTTACGTAAAAACGAACTACTAATATCAGAAATTTTCAGGTAAAACGAAATGCCAATATCAGAAATTTCAAATTTTCAGATAGTTGTTGCGAGAATTTTTTTTTTCAGAGATTTGACGAAGTCGTACTTGCGTTACTAACGAGTGATCAATAGATCAGCAAGCTGGCTACTTGATTGAGCGGGTCCTCTGAATGAGAGGTCCGCTCCGATACCAAACTGTTGCATACTGTAACGTGCAGACCAGAACAAGAACCGACCTCTCAATACAAAGTACAAGATAACACAGCGGAAGACTTAGATACGAATGATCCGAACAATCAATATTTCAATGCAGCCCTGAACACATCATCATCATCATCGTTATCTGGTGTGAAGGGGGTCTGGCGCTTCACACAAGAAGACTGCGCCAGCCCCAAACATACACAGACGAAGAAGGAGGGGTTAGACGAAGAGGAGGGGAAGATGGGAATGTCGTCAACACCAAGTCTCGGCACAGGCCCAAATAGTCCCTCGTCGAAATGTCTGAATCCCAAATGTCCAGTCTGGATCCAATGTCGTCAAGTCTCAAGTCACAACTCTTTCTCTCTCTGTCGTAGTCTGAGAAGTCAGGTGGCGAGAGGGTGAGAAGAGATGGTGGACTTAGAAGAGGAAGAAGAAGAAATCTCTCTCTCTCTCTCTGTGTCCAGTACTAACCTGTGAAGTTCGCGCCTTGATGCAGGTACCTCGAAGATGGAGCTGGAGCTATGGCGCCACATGTAAGTACCGCTGGCCTCCGCCAGCCATCTCCCCCAACTCTACGATCAACCACCTAATAGCGCCCAGCGCTGAAGACTACCACTATGGCTATGGGCGCCCAGCGCCGAAGACTACAGCTAGCGCTCATACTACTGCCTAGCGCTGAAGACTACTGCAGCGCTCCTCCGGAGTGCTGCGGCCGAATCCTGAAGACTACCGACAACTTCCTACCTGGGAAGTGCATGGGAACTGCCTATGTACTACCGGGTGCCTCCTGACTGCAGGCGAGCCTCCTGACTGCAGGCGAGCACTCCAGGAGGCTGCTCTTGCCAATGCCGATCGGAGGCAGGGGCTGCCGCTGCAGCTCCTGCTCAAGCTCGTGAGGAACAGGCTATTTCTGGCCTGTTCCACATCCCTGTTTAAGTGCCTGAGTCTTAGGGGCGGTCGAAACAATGAGGGCCTGAAAAAGGCCCTCCGTTTCCGGTTGGAAAAACTCTGGGTCTGAAAGACCCAGAAATAGGCTGAAACGGAGTAGGGCCTGCAGGCCCTCGTTTTTCAGCTTTCAGACTGAAACGACCGGGGCCTGTAAGCCCTAAGTTTTAGGCTTTTAGGCTGAATGTCCGGGACGGGCCCTGCAGGGCCCGTGTGGCTACGCAGTATGCCACATCAGGGGTCCTTCGGCCAGACGGAAGGAAGCGTGAGTGTGTGTCATGATGTAACATTGTATTCTGACTTGCCAGTGGAATAGGAACCGGACTGATGCTCCCCAGAATGGAAATGGCGCCAGGGCCATAAGGACCTGTTTGAAAAAAAACAAACAAAAAAAAACGTTATTCAGATCTGCGTACGAACAGAACTGAGATCTGGTCAGGACCAGATCTAAGACGGATCGCAGATCTGACCAAAATTCTCTCTCTCTCTCTCTCTCTCTCTCTCTCTCTCTCTCTCTCTCTCTCTCTCTCTCTCTCTCTCTCTCTCTCTCTCTCTCTTGACGTTCTGTGGCGCTTAGCAGCCAGCGCTTCATTTTCGGAGTCGGACTCATCCTCATCTGATGAACTACCACCGTAGTACAAACAGCAGCGGGAGCTGTTGGAGGCGTCTGGCGGTGGCCGGTAGGTCCTGAAACGGCCAAAAAATACCGGGGGCATCTTTTGGGGGCGGCCTAGGACCCGAAAAAACGTCCTAGGCCCCCCCCCAAAAAAAATTGAATTTTTCAAAATTGGGCCCAATCCAGGCCTACCAGACCGGACACTGGACCCATACCCAAACAATCGGACCGTCTGGATTCCGGTCCAGACGTTCGGCCAGTTGCCATGGTTTGAACCAAGCTAAGGTCAAGTTGTGCAGTTGACCAAAGTCCAGCATCAAACCAGCACAATGCGCCCCAGGGAAATCGAGCTTGTGACTTTTTGCGAGGACATATATGTCTGAAAGTTTTGGGGGTCCGGGGCTACCGGAGATAACAATTAGAATGTCATGAGACAGCTCGGTTGCTATCTACCGTTGGTGATTTGCAGAGAACTGAGAGAAGCCATCCCTAGTACGAGAGGACTGGGATGGGTCAACCTATGGTGGACCTGTTGTCATGCCAGTGGCATTGCCGGGTAGCTACGTTGGTATGGGAGAACCGCTGAAAGCATATAAGCGGGAAACCCCTCTTGAAAAAGTTATCATACAAAGTGAAAGACCATCACTTGAATAGGTGAAAAGTAAAAGCACCGTGAGGTATGAAGCTTACTCGTACTAATTACGACTCCAACTATTGGGGATCATGATGGCTGGTGCCGCCAGCCAAAAAGAAGAAAAATTGCGTCCATGCCGGTCCGGTTTTCTTCTGGCATGCAGCGCGTCGGAGGCTAGTGAAAAACAGCGTCCGATGTAATGGTGGTTCGAAACATATGTAGAGCCAAAAATGGACACATACACGTTCGTTTCTCTCAGCGTGCGTGAAACCGAAGCTGTTCTGGGTGGTATATGAAGAACTTTTGTGGGTATGCCGTCATATAATTATGACAACGAAACTGCCATCCTCCCTTTTTTGAAGTTTGTAGAGGCGGATGGCGTTGAGTTATCAAGGATAGGGCAGATGAAGGCCTTCTCATTTCCCGCCCAAACGAAAAGGGCCAAAGCATCTAGAAAATAGATCTCAATCTACAAAAAAATCTAGAAAATGAATTCAAATTCAGCAAATCTAATAGGTTCATGCTGAATATCTCCCTATATTTTCCTACTGATCTATTTCCAACATATCTAAGGCAGGCCTCTGTCCAATGATGCCACCAGACGCGGTTGAGAACTCAGTGTTGTAAGTGGGACGAGGCCCCTCCCGCTGCTGAGCCTAAGCTTCGTATCATGAGATTCTATCATTGTATTGATTCCGTGAACGAAAATGAAAGTTTGGACATGCTGTACATTTTTCTTTTCCTTTGCTGTTCTCAGTTTGCATCATCCACAAATCCAAGAAAGCAAAAACAGAAACAAAAACAGGCCCAAGAGAAGATCCATAACCAAACATAAAACGGGGGTGGGTTAGGTAAATGTAGCCTTTGGGCAGTTTTCTGCAACCTGCTATAGTAGGAGGCTTTTCTGTAGTGATTTTTGGAGAATTGTGCAGGACTGGAGCACCGGATTTAAGATGTGTACAATTTACTCAGAATGAGGCACACAAAACTCCTTATTTGACTACGCCTGGGGCTGTGATTACCAAGGGAAGGGGGGGAGGAGGGGAGCGCACTTGTGGGGAAGGCATCAGTGCATGTGTCCCTGAACTGGAAAGATGGCGTGGTCGGAAAGGAGAGGTATTCCTCGGCCGAGTGGCAAGCCCATCGTATGGAGCTCTGAACTGTATCCAAGTATAGAGGCAGTTGCAAAGGTGGAGGCTGCTGAGAGGAGGAGAAAGATACAGGAGGATATTGAATCAAGGCAGGGTTCGTTGGCTGAGAAACTCAATGCCATGGACTTGGCAGCTGGCAGGGTTAGTTTCTTTCTTCCCAACCCTCCTTCCTCTCCTCAGGTTTACCTTTTTTCTTCTCAACTCCCCTGTCTCTTCCCACACAACTTTCTCTTGCCAAGCAGCTTGTCGTTCTATCCATTGATCAAGTGATTGATTGATTGATTGGCTGATTGATTGATTGATTGATTGGCTGATTGATTGATTGATTGATTGATTGATTGATTGATTGATTGATTGATTGATTGATTGATAAGTTCGTTGATTGATTCGTTCATTGATTGATTTGTTCATTGATCGATTTGTTCATTGATTGATTTGTTCATTGATTGATTCGTTCATTCATTCATTCATTCATTCATTCATTCATTCATTCATTCATTCAATTGCTTGCTTCATTCAATTGATTGATTCGTTCGTCCGTCCATCCGTCCGTTCCCTCCCTCCCTTCCTTCCTTCCTTCCTCCCTCCCTCACTCACTCACTCTCACTCACTCACTCATTCACTCTCACTCACCC